CAAAATTTTGTGGTACTCGTAGACTGTTTTCATGGTTATATGTAGCTCTCTGTGATCAATTCCCCCTTTTTACACCCCCTTCCCTCCTGGTATCGCCACTGTCACCCCTGGTCCTGAGTGGTTCATCTGTCCTAGATTCCCTGTGTTTCCGATTCCCATCTGTACTGCTGTCTACCTACTTTTTACCTCATTCCTAGTGTAGTACTTAGTTTTAATGTAGCTTTTTGTTTGAGAAATTTTAGTTGTTAATTGATTAAAATAGTGTTGGGGGGGCAAAATTTTGTGGTACTCGTAGACTGTTTTCATGGATATGACTGGTTAGAAACGATCATTCATTTTTTCACAATCAGCAGGCTACAATGGAGAGAAATATTTTTTAAAAGAATTACTTTTCTGTAAGGAAAATTGTAGTTGGTCACTGTCCTAAGGCACACAACAAGTAACGGAACTGCTTTCAGCACTCTCAGGTGTTTCTAACTTCCCGTTGTCTTGGATTGGCGGATGGCTGAACAAACGACAGGTGAAGATATACAAAAGGGCTTCAAAAAGTCTTGTGAAAAAATTTTATTGTCTTTTAATTCCATTTTTCCATGGCTAATTCAAAATTCTGTTGTAAACACTTTGTTACTTGACAGTTTACAACTGTCGTATCCAACATTATTTAGTTACTAGGCCAATTGAAATGATCGTCATTTATAACAAACTCATTTTCTCAGTAAACTGTTGGTTTACAGCAAGCATATTCGTTTTCCTTATTATTATTTTTAATCATTTTATTGGGGCTCATATAATTCATCATAATCCATGCATACATCAATTGTGTAAAGCACACTTACACATTTGTTGCCCTCATCATTCTCAAAATTCGCTTTCCGCCTAGGTTCCTGAAGTTAGCTCCTCATTTTCCTTTTTTGTTTTCCTTATTTTGTTTCTCGTTGAACGCGTAGAACAGAATAGAAATGTAATAATAGTAATAAAACCTAGTTACCATCGAGACCATTCTGACACACGGCCACCTCTTCTTTGTCACCTTAGAATGTGCACCCCGGTGTTTTCAGTGACTGCTTTTCCAGAACTAGAGGTGCCTCTGAATGGATTTGAACCTCTGAATTTTTAACTCCTTGCACCGCACGAGACCTCTAGAATCATAACAAGTATCTATGAATTGGAATAACAGTGAGATTGTTTACAAGTAAAATGAGATGCAAAATGTTTACATTTTGATAGCTAATGATTACTCTTTAGTAGAGCAGTGGGAAACTAGCCTACAATCCTTGCTTTCTCTTTTTCTTTTCATAACTGGTGGATAGCTTGTTTTATTTTTAAATAATTTTATTGAGCCATGATTAACATCATACAATTCAATTCAGACCTCACCACAATCAACTTTGGAATGATTGTTTCCTTTTTGTACTCCCTGGTGTTGACTCTTTGCTTCCTCCCCAGCCCCTTGCTCTCCACCACTTATCTGTCAGTTTGCCATCCTGTGATGGCTTGTGTGTTGCTGTGATACTGGAAGGTGTGGCACCAGTATTTCAAATGCTAGCAGGGTCACCCAAAGTTAACAGGTTTCAGCAGAACTTCCAAACAAGATTAGACTATAAAAAAGGAATAAGCTGTCCAGTTCTGAAGAATTAGCCCCAGATAATCTTATGGACAGAATTGAAACATGGTCAAATCCTGAAAACCCATGAAAAGTAGAACCTCGTAGGAGATAGTGCCAGAAGATGAGCCCCTTAGGTCAGAAGTCACTCAAAGTATGACCAGGGAAGAGCTGCCTTCTTAAAGTAGAGTTAATGTTAATGGAATCAATGGAGTAAAGCCTATGGGAGTAAAGCCCTCAGGAGCTTGTTGGCTGATTCAGAGTGACTTAAAATGAGAACAGACAGCGGCAAACGTCGTATAATAATTGGAACTTGGAGTGTATGAAGTGTCCAGCTAGGAAAATAGGAAGTTTTTAAAAATGAATTGGAACACATAGAAATTGACATTATAGGCCTTGGTTAGTTGAAATGAACCAGTATTGGTCATTTTGCACCAGAAAATCATGTGGTTTACTATTAAAAAAAAAAAAAAAAAGACTCCCTGCCTTTGCGTTGATGCCAACTCATAGCTACCCTGCAGGACAGAGTAGAACTGCCCCTGTGAGTTTCCAAGACTATTTACTGTTTCCAAGACTGTAGAAAGCCCTCTCTTTCACCCATGGAGCGGCTGGTAGTTTCAAACTGCTGACTTTGCTTATTGCAGTAGAATGCATAACCACTATGCTACCAGCACTGGGAATGAAACAATCAAGAGGAATGACATTGCAGTCATTGTCAAAAAGGATATTTTTTGATATCCTATACTATATTTGATACTATATAGAAGTACAATGTTGTCTATGAGAGAATTATATCTATCTGAATTCAAGGAAATCCAGTCAATACAACTGTTATTCAAATTTATGCACCAACTGCCCAAGCTACTGA